AGAGGCACCTGCACATCCATGTTTATTGCGGCACTATTCACAATAGCCAAGTTATGGAAACAGCCAAGATGCCCCAGCACTGACGAATGGATTAAGAAAATGTGGTATCTATACACAATGGAATTTTATGCAGCCATGAAGAAGAACGAAATGTTATCATTCGCTGGTAAATGGATGGAATTGGAGAACATCATTCTGAGTGAGGTTAGCCTGGCCCAAAAGACCAAAAATCGTATGTTCTCCCTCATATGTGGACATTAGATCAAGGGCAAACACAACAAGGGATTGGACTATGAGCACATGATAAAAGCGAGAGCACACAAGGGAGGGATGAGGATAGGTAAGACACCTAAAAAACTAGCTAGCATTTGTTGCCCTTAACGCAGAGAAACTAAAGCAGATACCTTAAAGCAACTGAGGCCAATAGGAAAAGGGGAACAGGAACTAGAGAAAAGGTTAGATCAAAAAGAATTAACCTAGAAGGTAACACCCACGCACAGGAAATCAATGTGAGTCAATGCCCTGTGTAGCTATCCTTATCTCAACCAGCAAAAACCCTTGTTCCTTCCTATTATTGCTTATACTCTCTCTACAACAAAATTAGAAATAAGGGCAAAATAGTTTCTGCTGGTTATTTGGGGAGGTTAGAGGGAGGGGGTGGAGTGGGTGGTAAGGGAGGGGGTGGGGGGCAGGGGGGAGAAATGAACCAAGCCTTGTATGCACATATGAATAATAAAAGAAAAATGAAAAAATAAATAAATAAAAATAAAAATTGAAGGCCTTAAGAGCAAAGACTGAAGCTTTCCACAACTAAAGAAATTCTCAATATTGTAGTATTAAAAATCCTGTCTCAATTTCCAGTTTGCTGCCCTGCAGAATTTGGTCAAGACTCCGTCTCTTTCTTTCTGTTTCTCTGGAGAACTCTAATACATATCTGTGATGGATGTGGGTCAGTGTTTCTCCAAATCCATTCTTCCCTTTCATGGTTAGTTTCTTTTGCAGTTCAGAGTGGCCACACAAACAACTTCTCTCCATTGGTATGGGAATAGAAATGACACTTGCTCTTTTCTTTCCTGGATGACTGCACGTTGATGCTGAGAGCATCCTGGGAAGGCATGGGTTGAAAATGGCATCCTGTGTACTTCTGGTGCAGAGCATCCTGTGCCCTATCCCATGCCCCCACAGATCTTGAACATTTTTACCTAGATGCTCCTGATGTTAAGTAAACTGTAAATTTCTAGGGGCTACGGGTGTAGCTCAGGGGTAGGGTACTGCATAGTGATACAGAAGATTTGTGCAGGACCAAAAGCCTCCAACTCAACCTTGCTGGCTTAGGTGTTAAACTAGAGGGAGAGCCAGCATTCTTCTGGGTTCTTATCTCACTAAGCTGAAAAATTAATTTCACAGATGAGAGTGAATAAAGTGGGAGAGTTTATTGAGCTAGAAAAGTACAAAAGAGCAGAGCTCCCAGACTAGTCCCAAGACAGGGTGTCAAAGAAGTGTTGCAGTCTGAGGTTTTTATCCATTTTCTTCAGGGCATTGCTCACTCTAGGCACAGCATTCTGGTTGGCTGTGCCTGCAATGTTCTGATTGGTTATGCCCTAATTCTCATACTGTAGTTATTCTGGTCTGTCTTGCTTTTCCTTCTTTACATCCTTTAAGGTCACAAAGAGGTCATGATGGAGGTTTCCAGGAGCCCTTGTAGCATGTACAAATCTCTGTGTTTAATCCTCAGCACTATAAAATAAGGGCCAGGGAGATAGGTTAGTGGTACAGCACCTGCCTAGCATGTACAATGCCCCGGGTTTATCCACTAAATAAATAGACAATATTATTCAGGAAATGAAAATGTATGTGTGCTTTTTTTTAGAGGTACTGGTGTTTGAACTCCGGGCCAGCTGGCAGATATATCTGAAAAAGAATACAAATAACAGTGAGAAAGAAACCACAGCAATCACCTGGCAGCTGAATCCCTGGGGGCAGGGGAAAGGCCTTGGATCACAGGAGGTTCCCAAGGACTCCCTCCTTTGTGAGGCCTGGAGCCAGGGAAGGGGATGCAATTATTTTCCTTCTCCACCTCCAGGTAGAGGGATTTCCTTCTCCACCTCCAGGTGGAGGGAAGGAAATGTGGAAATGAGGGGTCTTTAGTGTCCCAAGCTTGGCTTTAAGCGAATTGTGAGGTAGGCAGTTTCTCCTGAGCTCTTCTACACCCTGCCCCCATCCCACTCAGCATGATCTCATTCCTTCCTCTTTATCTCTTTCTCCCCCATGCCTGCCCTCCAACATATACCCATCTAAGGGGTGCTTTCTTGATGAACTCCTTCTGTTCCTCATGGTCTTCTATGTGACTTTGAATTTTTACCCTGAACTTGTACCAGTGGCCAACACCCTCTGTGTCTTCCTTGATGCATTATGGGGGCATTTCTGACAAGGTCATTCTAAGAAATTTACATACCCTTTAAATCTTTGCCCAAGAGCCTGTTTCCTGGGCTTCAAAAATTACAAGCCTGTAATCCTAGTTACTTGGGAGGAGGGGATCAAGAGGATTTTAGTTTGAGACCAGCCCAGGCAAAAAGTTTGCAAGATCACATCTCAACCAAAGGCTGGACATGGTTTGGGTGCCAGTCATTCTAGTTACACAAGAACGCCCAAATAGGAGGCTCCTATTAGCAGTCCTAGCTGGGGCCCAGGCATCAAGCGAGACCCTATCTCAAAATTAACTAAAGCAGAAAGGTTTGGTGGAGTGGCTCAAGTGGTAGGGTCCCTGCATAGCTGAGGGCAAGTCTCTGAGTTCAAGCCCCGGAACTGCCAAAAAAAAGAAAAGAAAAAAAGCTCCATTCTCTTTCATAAGTAACCACCCAAATACGAGTGAATTATTATTTTTTTTTATGATAAAAGGTTTCAATATGGAGCCCAGGCTAGCTTTTAACTCTTAATCTTTTTTGCCTCAACCTCCTGAGTACTGAGATAACTGTCAGGAGCTATCATGCCCTGCTAAGAGTGAATTTTCATAGCAACTGTATGGAGACACCATCTGCACCTGAACAGAGCTGGACCCCAATCTCAGCTTTTCTATGCGGAAGCTTTAAGACTTTCTGATTTAGTTTCCTCTCTGCACAATCCCTATGCTAAAATCTATCTTCAGGATTGCTACTGAGATAGCTGAGAAAGTGCCACATACTCGCTCCTAGCTCCCTTGGTGTTTGTCTCCTTTTCTTTCACGGGGTTATGCCATCAAGCAATTTAATAAGAGAATAAACGTGGAAAGGCTTTGCAAGCCATAAAGCTGCTTACATATTGATTAATAATAATAAAAGCACAGGTAGGTAAGAGGGACAGCTAGATATATTGGAGGAGGTTTGCCATTTTTATAATCTGTGAGTTAGGTCAACAGATAATGCCACCACATTTCCAAAACTAAACATCAGAAATAAATGATGGAACAAGTCAAAATGGGGCTGTTGGCAGAACATTCCAAATAGGGGTCATCCGGTGAAACTTGAGCTATAGTCTGTGTATGCGTACATGACTGTCGTTGCTCCAGTATTCCTGGAGATCCACGGTGCTCATCACCAGCTCCTGATGTCCTGTTTCTGATGGACGATAACAACAAAGGTAGTTCTCTGAGTTTGGCTCCAGGTGTTGTGAGTTTGGAATTGCTGTTTCTATTTGAAGACCTGAACCTATGAGTCTCAGTAGCATTGGGAGGGTTAACAATTTGGTGTAGAGAGAAGGAAAAATTGACTATGATAGCTCGTTTCTACTCTAAGCCTGAAAAGCACACTCCCTGATATTGTGCTAGTGTGCTGGTAGTTAAAGGGGTGAAAACTGAAATATTTTCAGTCGCCAGAGGAGACTGCACTTGAGAAATATCCAAATAGATGGTTGATTAATCTCTTCATAAACTCTAGGGCAGATACCTGGAAGCTGAGTAGGAATGAACAAGACTGCCTTTGTGCACGTTCCCTTTGCTGGCTGGGACCTTGTGAGTGCCCAGGTGTGTGGTACAGAAAGCCTCCCGCCATTTCATGTTTCCTTTGCTCAGCTCTTTGTAACCTGAACTTTAGGCATCACTATTGGTCTGCTCTTTTAGAATTTAAAAAGCACTTCATATCACAATATCGCCCATCTCCCTCGACAGCCCTTCCCTGGTTTTCACAGAGAAGCTTTAACAAGTGTCATCATACAGATTAAAAAACTGTGGTTTAAGAGTCAGGTAAACCGGGCAGGCGCTGGCGGAGTGGCTCAAGGGGTAGGAGTGTTTGTCTAGCAAGCGCAAAGCCCTGAGTTCAAACTCCAGAGCTCCAAAATAACAAAGCATGAAGCAAACGCTAATGTAAAGCTGGCACGCTAATCTAATCTTCCGCTTTTTTTAGTTGGTAAGCTTAAGAGTGCGACCCTAGGATGTAGGGGTGCAATGGTGTACCCTCCAAAACGCTTTTTAAAGCATTGTGCACAGCTGCAGTGTAGCTCAGCGGTAGAGCGCATGCGGAAGGCTCTGGAATTTTCCAGGACCATCACAAAAAAAAAGAAAAGAATCCATGCAAATATTGACCAAAGAAAATAAAGTCTGATTTCTCTCTCTGGGCCTCTGGGAGATGGGGCGGGTTGAGAACCCCAGGGTGTAGCTCCACCCTCCCGGCTAGCTGACCTTGACAGGAAAAGTCTAGTGGCCAATCCCATAAAGTCTCCTACAACCCGCGCCAGTGGTCCTTTAACATTGGTACTGCGGGGCCATGCACTCCCGCCCACTTGGTCCGCCGTGGGCACGCCACTCCAGTGGCCCACTTTCCCGTGACCAGACCCTCCTCCCCACCCCGCCCCCTTCGGTTCGGCCCCTTCTCTCCTCGTGGCTCCGCCCTCCTCTCGGCCCCGCCTCCTCTCGGTAAGCCCTTCCCTGGGTCCCCTGTGTTCCCCATGGCCCCGCCCCTCCCCGGGACCCCGCTCTTTCCGGTGGCCCCGCCCCCTCTGGGTTCGCCCCTATCGTGACCACGGCCCCTCCCCGCCGCCCTTTAACTCGGGCGGGGCTCGGCGGCCGACTCAGATGCTTCTGAAAGCTGGCGTGGCTGCGTTCTCTCCGCTTCTTCGCACTTTTCCCGCTCGGCTCGCCGCTATGAGCACTGGCACCTTCACGGTATCACAACCGCTCAATTACCGCGGCGGGGCCCGCGTGGAGCCGGCGGACTCCTCTGGCACGGAGAAGGCGTTCGAGCCGGCCACCGGTAACCCGATGCAGTTGGGCGGACGACTGGAGGACGCGCGGGGGCCTCCCCGCCCCTGCCTTTGGGGCGCTGCACAGGGGCCGTGGGCGCAGGCGGATTGCCGGTCTGCGGAGCGAGTGCACCGGGGGCGGGAGGGGATCAGGAGGGGCAAACCTGGCAGATGCGTGGTGGGATCGGGACATGGTGGTCCGAAGGTAGTTCTGAGAGCTAGGCCTGCTGTCTGCAGAGGTCCAAGTTCCGCGAGGACCCGGAAGGCGGCGGAGAGGAGCGTTTGTGCTGGGGGTCGAGCGGGGCAAAGGCGAACTTGGGCTCCCATTTTACAGCGTTAAGATATTTCTGTACGTGCACCAGAATTGGAGAAGGGGGGACCCGCACGTTTGTCTAGTGTACCCCCTCCCCAAGCTTTACTGAGATGCGATTGACAAAAAGTGGAAGTGTACCACGTGATGTATGTGTATTTTGCGAAGTGATTACCACATCCGTTACCTCTGCAGAGTTGCCATTTTTTGGGTAGAGAGAACTTTTAAGGTCTATGCTGTGCGGAAAAAATATACAATTGAATATCATTAGGCGTTTTAAATATACGATACAGTATTACGCTGTTCATCAGATCTCCACAGTTTATTCACCCTATTTTATGCAGTGCTTAATTGTGTGCTAAGCTTAGGAGGTAGAGGGTGTTTTGTTTTTTGCTTTTTGTTCTGTGTTTGTTTTGCTGAGTTTTGTGGAATATTTGGGGCAGGAAGATGTGTTATGTGTAAAAGAAGTCAGAGCAATAAAACTGGATTGTAGGGCGGAAGTAGGGCTCAAGCATCAGAGCTCTTGCTTTGTAAGCACTAAGTCCTGGTTTCAAACCCCAATCCCGCCAAAACAAACAACCCTCATCCGAAACTGGATTGCTAAAGGACTGGGGAATTTAGGATTGGCCATGCACACAAAGCCACAGAGCAGTGACTTGTCAGAACTCTGCTTCATCCCCATGGTGGTACAGAAGGAAGAAAAATTGCTCCTTAATTCGTTACCTACAATTATGTGTAGTCTTCTCATTACTTTTACCAATGATTAGTTCAGTTTGTAACATAAATTGTAGGTCTGTGAAGTTTCTCTGGAAAAAGCAGTCCTGGGAATTCCTGTGAAAAGGAACTGTTGGGTTGAAGAATTTTTGTTGCTGGAGTTGGTGTTATTTATAGCCCTCGAGATAGCGGTGTAGAAAAACTGATCTTTTCATATTTTGCCCCAGAATAGGGATAGGGATTAAGAAAAGGCTTTTTAAAAAAAAAAAAATTTCGAAAAGGAATTTCTTTTAGGGATTTTTTTCTAATATCACTGCTTATTAGCAATATTCATCAAGTATTAGTAGTATAATTTACCTTGCAATATAAATAAGGGGTTTAAAAATCAGAATTCATACCCAATAGAGTTTGATTTTGAAAGACCCCTAAGATTTAGAGACAATATTAAGGAGTATTGCAAAATGATTTATGAAAAGTTAGTAAACTCAGGAGGACTGTAAAAAAAGGAGGGCAGGGGTTCTTAATCCAAATCCGTGGTGAGTTTAGGATAGGATATGACCTCTCTTGCATTCTGTGCTGTGGCTAAGTACATTTTTCCTGGAGAAAGGTTTGCAACTTTTGTCAGACTCTAAAGGGGTCACTGACAAAAAAAAAAAAAAAAAAAAAGAATTGATAGTATAGCAGTGGCTATACTTAAATCAGACCATACTTAAAAACAGGAAAAGGATCCATGAGAGAATGTCAATACATAATTTATTTAAATGTGTGGCAACAATTTGAAATAAAACCAACTCTTACTCTTCCTTTACAGGCCGTGTGATAGCTACTTTCACGTGTTCGGGAGAAAAGGAAGTAAATTTGGCTGTTGAAAGTGCAAAGGCTGCCTTTAAAATATGGAGTAAAAAATCTGGCATGGAACGTTCCCGAATCCTCTTGGAGGCTGCCAGGATTATAAGGGTGTGTATTAATGCAGTCCCTTCTGGAAAATTCCTCTTGCATTGTTCTGAGGGTGTTTTGTATTTAGATTTTGATGCAGCATTAGGTTATGACATTTTTATGAAACTGAAAACATTCCCACATACCCACCTTTGAATGTGAAACAGGCTTTCATTCAGTAATTCCCATCAGGTTCTTGGCTCATGGATATTTCCCTTGGCAGGTTTTCTTTGCTTTATTTGTTTTGAATTATAATGAACTGAACTCTTTATAGCTTGTTTTTTTTTTTTTTTGGCAGTACTGGGGTCTGAACTCAGGGCCTTAAGCTTGTTAAGCAGGTGCTATGCCATTTGAGTCATGTCCCCAGCCCTTTTTTGCTTTAAGTTATTTTTTAGATGGGGTCTCTCATTTTTGCCTGGATCTGGCCTAGATTGTGATCCTCCTACCTGTGACCTCTGGAGTGGCTGGGATGACAGGTGCACACCACCACACCCAACTTTATTAGTATACATTTTTATTAAAACATATACATACGTTTTCCTGTATGCACAGGCATATACACATATGCACACGGACACACGTATTCTGACAGAACACATGAGGCTTTTGGTCTAGAGAAAAAGGTGGCTTATTACAGCAAAATGCAGCAGCTGACCAGTATTTCAGCAGTGGTTTTCCGAGCTCTGCTCCCCACAGGGTGATGCATGAGAGTGAGGTGTTTCTTATTCTCACTGTAGGCTGCATCATTGTAAGTTGATAATTATCTTAATTTGTCCATCATTTTTTTCCTAGTGCATTAGCATATGGGGTTGTCATGTCTTCTTAAGAACTGGCTCATACCAGGCGAGGTAGCACATGCCTCTAATCCCAGCACTTAGGAAGGGGCGGTAGAAGGATCATGAGTGCAAGACCAGCTGGAGTGACATAGACCCAGTCTCAAAAAACCAATAAAACACTTGAGTGCCAGAGGCTCATGCCTGTAATCATAGCTACATGGGAGGCAGAGATCAGGAGGAGGATTGCAGTTCCAGATCAGCCCTGGCAAATAGTTTGAGAGACCCCCCTCCCACCAACTCCAAATAACCAGAGCAAAATGGACGGGAGGTGTGGCTCAGATGGTAGAGCACCTGCTTTCAAGCTTGAAGCCTTGAGTTCAAATCCCAGTACCACCAAAAAGAAAAAAAAAACAAAGTCCCTTTATCATTATGAAATTATTTTTATTAGTCCTAAATATTTAATATATTTTTTTACTCTTAAATCTACTCTCACATTCTTTTCCTTTATACATATAATTTTCCTAAGGATCATTCTTCCTTATTATATATGCTCAAATGTATATATGTATTTATAAACATAACATTTCTTTTTTTGGCAGGACTGGGGTTTGAACATAAGGCTTCAAGCTTGCTAGATAGGCTGTACCACTTGAGCCATGCCCTCAGCATGGAGATAGGGTCTCACTTTTTGCCCAAGGTGGCCTGTTCCATCGTCTTCCTCTTTGTAGGCTTCCCACTATCACTATGATGACAGGTATCATCCTTTGGGATGAGGTCTTGCAAACTGTTTTTGCCCAGTCTGGCTTAGAACAGTGATCTTTCCAATCTCAGCCTACTGTGTAGCTTGGGATGACACATAGTATTTCTTAAAATGTTCTTTTTCTAACCGATGTTGAAATGAGTTTGTGATCTTAAATGTTTCTCAGTTAACTTGAAAGGAAGAATAGATCTGCTCTCAAGCATTCAGCTTTTAGCATTCCAAATGCAACACTGCCATTTTTCTTTTCATTTAATAGAGATAGCTCTCTGTTTTTAGAAATTGAGCATTGTCTTCTATTTGAACATTGTGTATATTAAGGCATATTGTAATCAATTAAATCTAGTCTTCTGTTTTACCCACAGGAGCGGAAGGATGAAATTGCCACTGTGGAGACTATCAACAATGGCAAGTCCATTTTTGAGGCCCACTTGGACATTGATAGTTGCTGGCAGAACCTGGAGTACTATGCAGGCTTGGCTGGATCCATGGCTGGTAAGCCCTTGCCTGGCACTCTGTGATTATCTGACATGAGGGCAGAAGTAAAGAGCTTTATGGTGAACAGTGAAGATGTTGGAATTAAGACAAGTCTGAGTTAAAATCTAGGGTTCATAGCTTTCTGTGTCAGTGGTCCAGTAATTATCTTTCCTTATCTAAGCTGGAGATAATGATCCCTGTTTTCTTGAAGTGTTTTAAGGATTAAAATCCTTTTTTCTGCATGCAAAGTACCTAGCATATACATGTTTTTCAAATGGTTGCTAAAAAACCAGTTCTCATAAGAGTCGCTTGTCATATTTGCCTGTTTTATCTCCTTAGCAAAAGACTCTTTGGCAGTTTAAAGTTTACAGCAATTCACTTTGGATGGTTGGTAGGGCCCTGCTGTACCAGAAGTCCAACATTTCAGAGTCCTCAGACTCCCTTTGCTTCTGAGTCTTCCCCTCATTTCCATTTTTTTTTTTTTCTATCTTAGTTATCCAATAGAGGCTCAGGAAATTTTTAGGGAATTAAATTAAGTAGGATGAATATATGATGGTGAAATCATGCGGAACATGGACCTGTATTATTCTTTTTGTTGTTGTTTGCTGGAGACAAGGTATCACTTTGTACTTCAGGCTGCCCTTGGACTTGAGATCCTTCCAACTCTGCCTGCAATGCTGGAATTACAGGTGTGTGCCTCCACACCCTAGCAAGCTGTATTCTTTATCTTCTGTGTTCCTCTTAGGTGAGCACATCCAGCTCCAAGGTGGATCCTTTGGTTATAGCAGACGAGAACCACTTGGGGTTTGTGTGGGGATAGGAGCATGGAACTACCCCTTCCAGATTGCCTGTTGGAAGTCGGCTCCAGCTTTGGCCTGTGGTAAGAATAAATTATTCCTTCACTGTGAACTCTTAAACTCAAGGCCTACACCTTGAGCCACTCCACCAGCCCTTTTTAGTGATGACTATCTGCCTGGGCTGACTTTGAACCCCCATCCTCCTGATCTCTGTCTCCTGAGTAGCTAGGATTATAGGCGTGAGCCACTGGAGCACAGTGATACTCTCATTTTTTAAATTTATTTTTGTGCTTGGAGAGGAAGCAGCTTAATTTTTCCTGTTAAGTTAAATTAGATTTGTTCTTTTTGGGAAAGAATTTCTAGCCTTTAGGAATTAAAGTTAAACTCCCTTCTTCATTGCTCTCTTCAGAGAAATGATAAAAAAGAGGGCTACCATCAGAGCACTTTGACTGGCTTCCTTATACTGTTTATTTTTTCCTTTTTTTTCAGTGCTGGGGACAGAACTCAGGGCCTTGCACTTGCCAGGCAAGCGCTCTTCCACTGAGCTAAATCCCCAGCCCCCCTTATACTGTTTAGAAAGAAGAATCTGAGTTGGGCACAGTGGCTTGTACCTATAATCCTAGCTACTTGGGAGGCAGAGATCAGGCGGATTGAGGGTTGAGGCCCTCCCTGGCAAAAAGTTTGCAAGATTCCCCATCTCAACCAATAAAAAGCTGGGTGTAGTGGTGTGTATCTATCATCCCAGTTGTGTTGGAAGTGTAAATAAGAGGATTAAGCTGGCCTGAGCATAAACACAGGACCCTATTTGAAAAATAACGAAATCAAAAAGGTACTCAAGGGTACAGTGCTTGTCTACCGAGCACAAGGCCCTGAGCTCAAACCTCAGCACTTCTAAAAGAAGAAGAATCTGTAGGGGGAAAAAGACAGTATATCTTAGAAGAAGACACATGTTCAAAAAATGTTACAAGTTAGAACATCACACTGAAAAGTGGCTTTTGTCCTGTTACCATTGTGTGTATTGTTTTAGCATATTCCTGTTTGAAAGACAGTGTGATAGAGGAGAAATGATGTCAGAGGAATGGCATTAGCTTTGGGAACCCTAATCAAACGAACACTTCTGGTATTCAATTTCAGCTTTTATAAAATGGGACTAATACCCACTTCGAACTGTTGTTGTAAGTGTTAAGTGAGATAACATGTATGAAGAGGCCTAGATATGCAAGTGAGGAATTACTGTTTGAGGCTGGCCAGATACATGATTTGGGGTCTGTTTAGTGAGAGAAATAAGAGGGGAAGGTCAAGAAATGTCTATTATTAATAAATTTTTGGTCTAGAATTTGATAGGAGAATAGGCAACAATTGGAATTCTCCTTGATTGTCCTCAAAGGATCACCAGTCTTAAGTGTTTGTGTCTTGGGTTTGTGCAGGTAATGCCATGATCTTCAAACCTTCTCCCTTCACACCTGTTTCTGTTTTACTCCTGGCTGAAATCTACACCGAGGCTGGTGTGCCTCCTGGACTTTTCAACGTGGTGCAAGGTGGGGCCGCCACGGGCCAGTTTCTGTGTCAGCATCCTGATGTGGCCAAGGTCTCCTTCACTGGAAGTGTGCCCACTGGCGTGAAGGTGCAGATGAAACCAGTGCTGGTTAATACAAATGGTTCCAGATCTGGCAAAGCCAGTCCTGTCCAGTGTAGATTTTGGGGACTTTTCTTTGTATTTTACCTAGCTTATACTGGGAATGGGGTGGGAATTTTTCTGGGCTAAGGTCTGATGTTTCCTGTGAAAGTGTGAAGGGGGGATTATGAAGTATGTATGGAGTGGTCTTTGTTGGGCTGAGTGGGGTGGAGGTCCCCTCCGCTGTCTGAGGAGATGATGTGTCTGAGGGGACAGGGGACTGCATAGAAAGAAGGTTTTTTCTCAGATTCATATTTTGACCTGAATTTGTGTCCTGAGCTCCGTCAGCCCTAAATACTGTAACACAAAAGGAATTCCTGGCTGTGAGATTCCTGGGATTTGCCACTAAGTTTTAAATAAACTTCCTTTTCAGAATTTGAAGTGCAGTTCAATGGATTCTGTTCAGTTTTCTAGAAAAGAATACATACATATACATATATATGCATATATATATATATATATATATATATATATGTATATACACACATGTATATATACACTTTTTTACTGTTATTTGTGGCCATACTTAGGGCTTTGTGCTTCCCAACTAGAAAATAATATTTTAAATAGATGAAGGGCACAGTGTATTGATGAGAATAAGGCTACCTGTCATACACAGTTGAAGATGTCTCTGTGGTTTTAGGTTTAGTTGACCTAGCATGCAATCTAACCTGTGTTGAACTTCTGAATTTTTGTTTGTTTGTTTGTTTGTTCTGAAAGATCATGGAGTTGTCAGCTAAAGGAATCAAACCTGTTACCTTGGAACTTGGGGGCAAATCTCCTCTCATCATCTTCTCAGACTGCAATATGGAGAATGCTGTGAAGGGGGCACTGATGGCCAACTTCCTCACACAAGGCCAGGTACAGACCTGTCCCTGGACGAAGTTTCGAAGGAGTGTCTACCCCTTCATCTAACAGCATGTGCTGCAGTTTTCTGTTGTGAAATTAAATTAAAGCTTACAGGATAATTGCACAGATGGTACAAAGATTTCCCACGTACCCTTGAACCAGATTCCTCTAATGTTTTAAGATATTAACACATTTACTTTATCATTCCCTTTATCTGTCTCTACTTATTAAGTTATTCTGAGAGTGAGTTGTAGACATAAGGCCTTACCCTCCAAATACTTCAGTGTTGCTAAAAAGAAGTGCGTTCTTTCACATAAGCACAGTACACTTAGGAAAATTAGTGAATTAACATCAATGTAGGACTGTTACTGAATCTGTATCCCTTATTCAAATTTTGCCATTTGACTAAGTACTCTTAGCAAAAGAAAACACTTTTCTTTCCCTGTACAAGATCCAGTTGAAGAGGCTGGGGCTGTGGCTCACTGATAGAGCTCTTGCCTAGCATATGCAAGGCTTAGGGTTTGATTTGTAGCACTGCCAAAAAAAAAATTCCAGTTGAAGATAATGTACTGTATTTAGTTATGTTACTTTTTTCATATGAAGCTTATTATTTTTAAAAATTGAACATCCTTATAGGGGATAGTATGATATGTGATACATGTGTATGATGTGTAATGGTCATATCAGGATAATTAGCACTACTAGTTGTGTCTTTTATTTATTTAGTTACTTGATGTTTTTTGAGGCAGGATCTGTAGCCCAGGTTGGCCTTGAATGCCAGGGATTCTCCTGTCTCTATCTCCTGAGTGCTGGGATTATAGGCATGCACTACTATGTCCAGCTATTAGTCATCCTGGTTTTGATTTCCCTTCGTTGAAAGTAGTTATTTAGTTACTATCATTCAGGAAGGAGTTTGATACTTTTGATCAGTATAGGCCATTGACTTTATTGAACGTTCCTCATTTTGGGTCTGTCTGATGTTTCCTGTTGTTTATTTTTTTTTTGGTGGTATTGGGATTTAAACTCAAGGCCTCATGTTTGCTAGGCAGGCACCCTGCCACTTGAGCCATGTGCCAGCCCATGGTATTTTCTGTTCATTAGATTCCTGTTGTGTATTTTTGACCAAAAAAAAAAAATACTATATTCACTACTCTCCTTCATGGTGATTTAACTTTGTTCACTTGTTTAACTTGGGTCTTCACTGTGAAGTTACTGTTTCTTTTTCTTTTGTGCTTAATAAGTATCTTCAAGGAGGTATTTTAAGATTATTCTCTTCTTCATCAAATTTCACCCAGTGGTTTTTTTCCTTCTCACTGATGATTCTTGTTGAAATCTGTTTTTATTACTGTGGTTGACAAATGGTGATTTTCCAATTCCTTGTGTGTGTATCAGCTTCCCTTCTATTGTAAAAGGAGCGTTCCCTTCTACTTTTCATTCACTTACTCATACATCTGTATTTCATTCTGTTGGTTATAATCCATTGATATTAATTATATATTTGTTTGTTTTGGGCAGTACTGGGGTTTGAATTCAGGGCTTTGCGCTTGCAATGCAAGTTCTTTACCACTTGAGCCACTCCTCAAGTCCATGTTATTTATTTTGATGCTCAAATAATGGCTAGTGGGAGCCCTTTTTTTTTTTTTGATGGCACTGAAGTTTGAACTCAGGGCTTCACACTTGCCTTAAACATTAAGGCAGGCGCTCTTAATGCTTGAGCCACTCCTCCAGCCCTTTTTTTTGTGATGGGTTTTTTTGGAGATAGGGTCTCTCAAACTATTTCCTTGGGGCTGGCTTTAAACCTTGATCCTCCTGATTTCTGCCTCCTGAGTAATTAGGGTTACAGCTGTGAGCCACCAGCACCTGGGTATGACCTTTTAATATATCTCTTTCTTAGAGCATTTCTTTATTTTTTTGACACAGCAAGGTGTTGTAGATTCTACTTATTCTTTCCTTGACTAAGAATCAGTCATTTGTCTAGGGATCCCTGGTTTCACTGAGTAGTAAATAATATTTGGAAACCAAGATTTTGGATTGGGGATGTAGCCCAGTGTAGAGCACTTGCCTAGCATGTGTGTGCATGATGCTCTAGGTCCCATCCCAGTCCCACCAAAAAAAAAAAAATAAAAAAAATAAAAGAAACGAAGATCTGAGTGCCAAGGGGATGATCTTGATTTCTATTGGTTATCAGTACTTCTGGGCCCTCTCGGAGCCAGTGCTAGGAAATCCATATTTATATCTATGGCTGCACATGCCTTTTCCTGTATTTGTCTGTATTAATAACCACAAGTTCATGCAGATATTTCCAGTTATAGTCTAACACCACAGGGTTCAGTTGAGCCTCCCTGTTTATCCTTCTCCTGGTCTGTATTTGAAACTTCCTTTTCTGACATAAATTGGGCTCCTATTGTGCATATCACATTAATTGTTCAGTCCTAGAATACACCCATAGTAGGATCAGACTTGTATAATGGAATTGTGAATCCATGCCACTGTGAAAAATAAAGCTCTTAATTAAAGTTCAGAATATTTCACAGTTCTTTTTGTCTTTAGCCTAGAGATATAGTCAAAGTGCTGTCTGCTCAAAAGTTACTTGGGGGACTGAAAGTGGTGGCTCACGCTTTAGAGTGCCAGCTTAGCAAGTGCACAGTACTGAGTTCAAACTCTGGTACTGCCAAAAAAGAAATAAAACATCCTTTTAAAAAGGTGTCATGCATTTTCTAAGTTTAAAGGTGTTAGATTATTTTCCTTTTTCCCTGTTGTTTTTACTAGTATATATTAATCGTACAAAGGGGTTTCATTGGGATATTTCCACATATGCATATAATATACTTTTTATCAAACTGATTCCCTTCTTTTTCTTTTTCCCTTTCCCTCCTTATGCAAATTTGTGTCTTATGTCTGTCCTTTAGGTTTGCTGTAATGGCACAAGAGTATTTGTGCAAAAGGAAATCCTTGAAAAATTTACAGAAGAAGTGGTGAAACAGACCCAAAAGATAAAAATTGGAGATCCCCTTCTGAAAGACACAAGGATGGGTCCGCTCATCAACCGACCACACCTGGAGCGAGTCCTTGGGTTTGTTAAACTGGCAAAGGAGCAGGTGAGACATAAGTGGAGGCAGGAGGGGTTGGAAGGAGGGTTATATTAAGGCTACTTGCCCCTTTCCGTGTTGGCTGTTAGTCTCGGAGCAGTGTTGTGCTTTTCCTTGCAGTAAGAGAATAGGTACTGTCTTGCATTTGTCTAGGATACGTTTAAACTTTCAAGAATGTGTATTGGGCTTGCATGTTTAAGACAGAAGATACATTCTTTTTCTTCTTTTTTGTCAGGGTGCTAAGGTCTTATGTGGTGGAGATCTGTTTGTACCTGAGGATCCCAAATTAAAAGATGGCTATTACATGAGGCCTTGTGTATTAAGTATGTCTTTTTCTTGTTTGCTTTTAGGTGGTTTGAATCAAATATTAAATTGATAGAAATGAATATTTATAAAACGTGTGCATGGTATAAACCAAGGGTTGGCAAAGCACATGCCAGAAGTAGAGGTGCCACATCACCTCTGAAACTCCCTGGGTGCGCTCCTCCAGGGGAACTGAAGGTATTAGTTTACCTGGGACAGCACCTGTTGTTCTAAAAGCAAGGAGCTCAGAAAAAATGAAAATGATAAAAAGGTGGGAGTACATGTTTGGTAAAAAGTAGGATAATGAATTTAATTCCACAATAAAGAATGTTTTTCATTTGAACTATAGGGCATCAATATAATAAAACCAATTTGTCAGATGTCATGCTAATATTTAAAAGATTATGTAATTTAATAATTTGTAATACCTCCTTTCAATCTGAAAAATCTGCTTTGGACAATCAAGTATGTATGGTCAATCCCACTTACTTCCCTCCTGCCTCAGAGGTAACTGCTGTTCTAAACATTGATTTTTATCAGTCTCACATTTTTTCCTGTCATTTACAATGCATGTTAGTACTCCTTATAAAATATTATTACTTTTGTACACTTTAAACAATCATTTAGGTTGAATTATGTTTTATAATTCCTCATTCCTTATCTGATCAACTGCAGTAGTGGTATCAGCTTTCAGCACTTGACATTTGATGCAGTTTAATGTTTATCTTCTTTGACCTTTAACTCTTGCCAGGCATAGTGTGGCTCAAGCCTATAATCCCAGCTACTTAGGAGGTAGACACAGGAGGTTCTAGGCCACCCTGGGGGCAAGGTTATCATGAGACCCTATGTGCAAAACAAACCAAAAGCAAAAAGAAGGATTGGGGTGATGGCTTCAGTGATAGAGGTCTTGACTAGCAAGCACTCAGGCTCTGAGTCCGTGAGAGCTCCACTGATGTTAAAGGTATGAACTTAACACCCATGCCATGGTTATCTTACAGTTATTAAATAAATATTTAATGGGTAGAAAAAGCTTATAATGTACATTATTAAATAAAATTTATAGGTTATGTAATAGTGTGTATGATATTATTGCAAACTTACTAAAAACCAGATATGTGCACAGGCAAAAGGAATGCTGTATGCATCCCAATGCTATCTCGTTGGTTTTTTTTTTTTTTTTTTGTGGTACTGAGGTTTGAATTCAGGACCTCATACTTGTTAGGCATGCACTCCACAATTTGAGCCACACCTCCAGCATAATGCCATCTCAATAGCAGATTTCTCTGTGTGATTTTGTTGTACTTTGTGCGTTTCTTATTATAGATTTCCTATAGAGAACATATATTTTACAATTAGAAAAAAAAGCTACTTTTAAACAAGCTATGAACCCAGGCAAAGAAGAGAACACTGACTCTTAGCTTTATTCTTGTGATTCTGAACACCTGGCTGTGGACTGGTGCATCAATGTCACTTGGAAAACGTGGTACAAAGGTGGATTTTCAGTCCCTGCCCTGGACCTCTGAGTGTCACTCCCCAGGCAGGGCCTAGAGGTCTTTATTTTAATAAACCCACAGTTATCTTTATGCACATTAAAGTTTGGGAATAACCCAATCTTACTCCTTAGGTTAATTTACTTAAAATTTGGGGACTGACATCTAGTGAGTCAGGCAGGGACCTTTCCTGTTCCTGCATGTCAGCCATTCCTATTTTAATACCCTCATCTCATTTGACTCCACAACATAGAACTCGCTACCCAGGAAGCCACATTGTGTTATCAGCCTGTATCAGATGATAAAATACTTTCTGAGACTCTTGGGTAATGAATTGTTTCGAGTAGTTAAATATCCTGGCTAGGGGTTTCCCTAAAAATCATTTGTAGATAACTAGTTTTCAAAGAATTAGAACACAACGTAAATCTTACTATGTAAAATTGAGATACGCTGTTCTTTGGCACAGTGCAGACAAGTGCACATCCCCTTTGGAAAATCACTGGGGTCAGTACCATACCTCTGACTATATGAGTTTGTTTAGATGCATATTTAAAATGTCAGGTGAACCAGATCGTTTAAGGAAATTAGCTGTTTAAAGAAACTATTTTTTAAAAAAGTGAATGCCCTCATTTGTTTCTGAATTTGTTTTTTATATTGGATTTTTTATAACATTGTGTCTAATTCTAATCCTATCACAGAATCATTAAGAAAATATGAAAAAGTTATAATGAAAGTAATTATATATGTAACATTTTAATAGACATTTGGATGATAGTATATAATTTTGTATCATTTTCAGTGAATAGTTTATAATGAGCACTTAATTACTGTTTTTCCTCAAAAACTTACTTTAGAAGTTTTAGGATGAACTCTTTTTTTTGGTGGGTCTGGGGTTTGAATTCAGGTCTTTGTGCTTGCAAAAGCAGGTACTACCATTTGAGCTATATCTTGAGTTCATTTTGCTGTGGTTATTTTGGAGATGGGGTTTTGTGACCTATTTGCCTTGGGCTGGTCTTGATCTGCAATCCTTCTGATCTCAGCCTCCTGAGTAGCTAGACTTATAAGCGTGAGACACTGAACCATTGGCACCTGGCCCTTAGGATGAATTCTAAAAAGTAGATTTGGAATTACACAAAAGCTATGACTTTTTAATAGATATTATTAAATTGCCAGGCAGAAAGAGTATTCCAATTTAAATCCACTGTGGCAATGTCATATTGAATTTTTTCTAAAGCTTTGTATTTCAGTGTTTACTGTGAATAAGACATTTTTGGTGTCTGAGGTAATACTCCCTCACTAACATTTAGTTTTATTATAAATGTTTGCAGCTAATTGCAGAGATGACATGACCTGTGTGAAAGAAGAGATCTTTGGACCAGTTATGTCTGTTTTGTCATTTGACAGTGAAGCCGAGGTTCTGGAAAGGGCCAATGATACCACTTTTGGACTAGCAGCTGGTGTCTTTACCAGGTAGGTGGAGAAGTTCACCCAAAGCAGCTTTGTAATTGATCTTATTCCTCACCAGTTTGCCCTCACTGGAGTCATCAGCATTTTCTGTTTGCTTTAGCTTATTTATTTATTTTTTCTTTTTTGTGGTCCCTGGGATCAAACCCAAGGCCTCTTCTTCTTCTGAGTGCTGGGATTATATACCCAGTTTACCCTTTGTTTTATCAATTCATCTGTTGATGGACACCTGTTAGGTTTTTCTATTTTTTGGGCTACTCTGAATAATCATGGGAAGAACATTCTGATTTGAATGGACATAAATTTTTTGTGTGGACATATATTGTCATTTCTTTTGGGTGTATATCTGGGAATGAAATTGCAGGATCGTATGTTAACTTCACGATTAACTTTTTGAGGTTAACCTGTTTTCTAAAAGTACACCACCATTTTACACTCCCACTAATAATGTCTGCAGGTTCAAGTTTCTCCACATCCTTGCTAGCCCTTGGTATTGTGTGTCTTTTTGACTTTAGCCCTCCTGTGTATGAAGTGGTATTTCATTATAGTTTTGATTTACATTGTTTCTGTGGATTTTCTTTGCACTTTGTGCGTGTGTGTGTGTGTGTGTGTGTGTGAGAGAGAGAGGGAAACAGAGAAAGAGAGAGAGAGAGGGAAAGAGAGATACTGGGGGTTGAATTCAGGGCCTTGTGCTTGCTAGGCAGGTGCTTTACCACTTGAGCCATCCCCCAGCCCTTTTTGCATTGCTTATTTTTGAGATAGATCTTTCTTTATGCCTTGGCTGGTCTGGCCCAGTATCTTTCTGTTTGTGTTTTTCTGCCTATTCTGGGATACAGGTGCATGCCACTGCACTCAGCCATTGATTGAGATGGGATCTCTCAAACTTTTGCCTGGACTGGTCTTGAACCTCTATCCTCTTGGTCTCTGCTTCCTGAGAAGCTAGGATTATAGGCTTGAGCTACCACACGTGGCCTCTTTTCACTTTATTGATAGTCTTATTTGCAGCACAAAATTTTAATTTTGACAGTCTGAATCCTCTATTTTTTCTTACCTTTTCTTCTGGTGGTACTGAGGCTTGAACTCAGGGCCTCACGCTTGCTAGGCAGGCACTCTATGACTTGAGTCACTCCTCTAGCCCATATTTTTTCTCTTGTCTGTGACCTTTAGTGTTATATTTAAGGAGGCTTTGTTTAGCCCAAGCTAATGAAGATTTATTCCTAAGTTTCTTTCCAAGAGTTTTATAGTTTTCAATGTACATTTTAAGTATGTGATCCATGTGGGTGAATTTTTATGTAAGGTATAAGAAAAGAATCCATCCTTTTGCATGTAGGTATATAGTTGTTCTTATGCCATTTGTTGAAAAGAACTTCCCCTCTGTTGAATTGTTTTATAGATGCCTTTTGGTTGAGACTAAATCCTAAATCTGTGTCTGTTTTGTCCACATGATGAAGGTTTTTAAACATTTTAAAGAAACAAAAATTTGGCAAATTTTGGGACCCTTAGAACTAGCCATCTGACTTGTATGAAAATAGTAGCTTTGAAACTGAATAACCAATACAGTTTTTTTCTTCATAGGGACATCCAGCGGGCTCACAGAGTGGTGGCTGAGCTTCAGGCTGGAATGTGCTTCATTAATAACTACAATGTCAGCCCAGTGGAGTTGCCCTTTGGTGGATATAAAAAGTCAGGTGAGGAGCTGGGGAGTGTGAAAGCAAACCAGATGTCTAGGGATACCGTCATATTACACCATTGTTCTTAAAGCCATCTGTGTATTAGAATCACCTGGGGAAGTGCTTCGATTCCTGGTCCTCCCACACCCACTATGTTAGTATCTTGGAATGGAGGCCAAACATTTTCAGAAAGTTCCATGTTCTTGTGGGTAGAATTACCTTTTCTTCACAGTCTGTAGTTGCTGTAAGCATAAAACCCTCCTCCAGAGGTTTCAGAGTTTAGGTAAAGTATCTTCAGAGTAATGTCCCAGAAAGCTTCTATGAATTTGTTTTTTCTATTGGGCCAAGTTAATAAAACCTGTTAATTTAACATTTAATTGTAATTCTACTGGATAGCTATTGGAATGTTTTCCCTGAGCCACTGCTCAGTCATTTCATAGTTAGACATGTGTTATCACAGCATGACAGATGTGTAAGTCTGCTATGTCAGAGACCCCTCATCTTTGGCAAATATTTATGGCCTTCATAGTATTGGCAAGTATGTAAGCCCTGATGAGATGATGGGTGTTAATTTGACAGTCTTACTTGGTACTTAGTATTATTCTGGTGTTCCCTAATCCTATTCTATTAGTCACCTTCATCCCTGTGGGGGTACTCAGGGAAGTTGTACATACAGGCACAAACACAAGTGGAAACCAAGGTGCCATTTTATGAATGCATAAGCCTCAGCACAGACAACAGTTGTATTGATTAGGTCTTTCGGGGCCCTGAGCCTGTTTTTCATTCCCTTTGGGCCAAGCATGCCTATGAGAGAGATGGCTACATCTGCAAAGCGTGCCTGGTTCTGCCTGCTGTGTGCTCAGAGGACTTGGAAAGGAACAAAAGACAGGGCTAGATTTTGCCAGGACCTTTGTGTATGTCATCTTTTGAACAGTGCCACACAGAAGCATGCATTTTGGAGGATCTGGTTTACCTACCTTAAGTCTGGGCCAGGGAGCACAAGAAAGACCAAGCGTGGGATAATGTCCTTATAACACAACAACCCTATCCACTAGGTGTTGGGTAGTGTCTGTGACTCTGAGTAATCAGGAATCTATGGTGGATCCTTCCCATATGAGTGAGCAAAGTGTAAATATGTTATTCTTACAGATTTAGTATGGAAGGTTAATAAACCTGTTACATAGAGTTAAGTTTGAAATTAGTACCCCCTTTTAAGGCCATCAGGTTGACTGTTGTAGAGATTGCTTTTGACGATTTTAACATGTTTCTTAAGAAAAAAAAAGCCAGTGTTTTTCAGATGTTTACACCCAGAACAGTAGACAACCAGAAGCTAAAGTTCATATCGGTAAGAAATGAGGGCATGTATTTTCCTGTCCTTATCCCAAAGACATACTTTGTGTCCTTAGCTCCACAGATAGCACATAGATTGAGGACTTGATGATCTCCAGTTGTTATGGTTCTGTGTTCTTCTCCTGCACTGACGTGCAGTGCCTATCTTAGAAGCAGTGTTAGACTTCTCTGACAATTACAGTAACGGCTCATCCTGACGCTTTCTCTTCCTTGCAGGATTTGGCAGAGAGAATGGCCGTGTAACAATTGAGTATTATTCACAGCTGAAGACTGTGTGTGTGGAGATGGGTGACGTGGAGTCTGTTTTTTGAAAACCCACAGTGAAGCCTGTCCACGTGGCCAAGCTGTGGAATAATAAGAATCGGCTCTCTTGACAGACAGGCCATTTAGGATAAGAGAATGATACAGTGTTGTTCTTCATCTTTCAGTCACCTTCTTAATTGAAATTGTGCATAAGTGCCTTTCAGACAGTAATCAAGAAATGATTTTTCTCAAAGCCAATTTCTGTGAAATCTTAAAAGCTAGCAACACACCTCTAGAGAATAGGCAGGCCAGAATTCAATGTCTTCCACACATTTGACCCACTGACAATGTTAATTTGTTAGCTTATTTTAAAGAACAACTTTTGTAGGTTCCTGGTAGAATTAGTAGATAGGATTTCTGTTCGTTGACATTTTAAAGCTTTGTCATTCCATTGAGAAAGCTGATGATGCGGATATAGAGGGAATTAGAAGATAGATGGGGTCAGATTTTGTGCATAATAATCTTGCATAGAAAGCACTTTGTTTTCATTCCTCCCACAGGGAAAAGTTATCTCTGTTCCTTAAACTACAACTTACTCTCCTGTTTTTTCTTTTCTCTCCCAACTTGCTCTCTCTTGCATCAAAAAGGATAACTTTTAAGTGCACAAATTGTATGTATGCTAATATTGTATAGTGAAATTAAAATAAATCATACTGTTAATCCTTTTACTTTCTTGTTTTGAAACTCAACACATCTTAAAGCTGTAGTAGAACAGAATAAAGGCACAAGGCAAGGAAATCTGATCTTTTCGGTAAGTACAAAAGCAGGTTGAGTTGCTGTAAAGAACTTTTTATGACTCCCCAGTGTTCCCCATTGTATAACTATTGCCTGTCCTGAGAAACCATCACACCATCTGACTCCTCAGGTTGCTGTGGTGATGCCTAACCCTGCCCTTTTCTCTTCCTCACAGGAGAATAGTTAATAAATAATAGGGAAAGTAGTAGGCAGAGATAAGGGACGATTACTGGGTCTGGATCTGGTCATGTCCTAGGATGGGCAAATACTGCAGTTTTCGAACATGGAAATACTTGAATCAACCTCCAGGTTTATGCAGAGGTCACGTGATACACAGCAAGGCCGCAGAATTGTTTCACCCTGTGTCTTGTGCAACATAAACAGTACGAACTGCCTGGGAGAAGACAAGTTTCTGATGGTCCTAATAAAAAAATAGCAGGGGAAAGGGAACTAACATTTGAGTATCCAGGAGATCCTATTGCTACATCCCTTCTCACTTATTGCACACAGTACACGTAAGTACGGTAGTATCCCTGAATTCAGGATGAAGAAACTGAGATTTAGGGGGAAGTCTTGGTCCTAGGTACTAGTCAAACCCTGTGTGGGATTACAGTTCCTTTGCTTTCCAGACCCTTCCCTGGCTCCTGTGCCTGCAGCAAGAAGCTTCCACACAGTGGTGGCCCCTTAAACAACACAAACTTGTCATCTTATCTGGAGGTCAGAAGTTCAAAATGGTTTCACTTGGCCAAAAACCAAGGAGTTGACAAGGCCACACTCCCTCCAGAGGCTCACTAAGAGTGCTGTAGTTTGGAGGGTGAACATCCACCAGAGGATGTACTAAAGGCTTGGTCCCAGGGTGTTGCAGTTTGGAGGTGGTAGAACCTTCAGGAGATGGGGGCTAGTGAGAAACCCTGAAGTATTTGAGCCTGTGCCCTCAAAGGGGTAGGGCCCCACCCCCTTTTCCTCTGCTTCTTGGCCATGGAGTAAGCAGTTTTGTGCCACCACGTGCTCCTGCCATGATGTGTTGCCATACCACATACCTAGACAATGGAGCCAATTGATCATGGACTGGAACCTCCAAACTGTGAGCCAAGAAAACCTCCCTCCTCCCTACCCTGGAGATTGAACCCAGGGCCTCTAGCATACTAGGCAAGTCCTCCACCACTTGAGCCATGCCCTCAGCCCAAATCTTTTCTCTTGTAAAGTAATTATCTCAGGTACTTTATTACAGTGATGGAAAGCTGGCTAAGTAGAATCTGTTTACCTTTTCATCTTGAGCTGCATTCCATGGCCCCTGGCCCCCTTATTGTCTAAGTCAGCCGTTTACCATCTTCAAATCTCTGCTTTCATACTCTCTGCCTCCCTCTTATAAGAACACCTGGGATTAAATTTGGAGCCCACCTGGATAGTCCATAGTAATTGGCCACCTCAATATCCTTGATCATGTCTGCAAAGACCCTCTTTTGCCATATAAGGGAACATTGACAGGTTCTGTGAATTAGGATGCAGCCATATTGGGGGAGCATTATTCAACCTACTGTATTTCACATGGTCCAAAGTGTGTTCTACGACATTATATAGCTATGGCACTTTACAAATTTACCTGGACAAAGATTTGAAAAAATACACCTGAGGGGAAAAAAACCTGTTAATGATGCATCTTCTAAGAGTACAAGTATAGTCAGCCTCTGTATCTGTGAGTTCCACATTAGTAGATAGGATATTATTTTTAAAGTAAAAATTATGTCTGTGAGACTGGGGGTGTAGATCAGTGATAGAGTGCTTACCTGTTGTGTACAAGGCCTTGGGTTTGATCCCTAGCACTGACAAAAATTACATCTATACTGAACATACACAAATTTTTCTTGTCATTCCCTAAATAATACAGTATAATGACTTTTTACGTAGCCTTTACATTGTATTAAGTATCATACATAATAATCATACAGAGATGATTTGAAGTATACAGAGGATGTGCATAGGTTATATGCAAATACTTGTTGCAGGAAGTTGCTAGCTGAGATACAGGACACTGAGGCAGTTTAGTAGAAAGCAACATTTTATTATGCTAGCACAGACCCAGCAGACTTGTGTCCAAAGGCTGACCCCTGAAAACAAAGCGGTCTCACCTTATGTACCCTTACAAGCAGGTTATAGAGGCAATAAAATTTAAAAAACAAGGTTTAACCCATATATGGTTACATGCAATTCTATAAGCTACTTCACCCACGTGTTTAGTGCTCTTCTACCCTAGTGCTATGTGACCTTCACTTTTGAATTCTATAGGTTTTATCTCTGCTATGCCATCCCTTCCCCCCTGCTACTTTGTCAGAACTCAGGCCTAGTTTGTTTTCTTCTGATCCTCCTCCCTGCTACAGTATGCCATTTTATATAAGGGACTAGAACCAGTCCCCTGTGGATACCAGGGTCAACTGTAACAATGCCTATAAAACACACCTAGAGAAACATGGACTTAGCCAAGAGGCCAGGTCTTCTCCTGATTTAGAAGTAGGTCAGGCTTAGTGACTCACAGCTGTAATTCTAGCTACTTGGGAGGTTGGGAGGATCAAGGTTCAAGGCCAGTCAGGGCAAAAAGTTGCAGAGATCCCCATCTCAACCAATAAAAGCTGGGTGCACACCTGTCATTCCAGCAGGAAATGTAAATAGGATCAAAGCCTAGGCTGGGGATTAGCATGGCTCAAGTGGTAGAGTGCCTGAGTTCAAACTCATTACGCTAAAAATGTGTTATCTAGCTAAATTTTCTTGGGGTTGCTTTTTTTTTTTTTTTTTTAAAGTCTCTTTATATAACCCAGGCTGACCTGGTACTTTGTCTGTAGTCCAGACTGACCTTGAACCTCCAATCCTTCCACCTCCACCTCCACAGTGCTGGAATTATAGAAGTGCTCCACCATACCTGGCTTGGGTATTTTTTCCTCCACTATTTTGATTAACTGTTGACAATTAAGAAGAAGAAAGTGTACCTCCTTGTCCTTCTCCCATCTAGTCTTACCTCCTGTTAACATCTGTGTGTATCTTGCTTAAGATTTCTAAAGGGAATAATTGCTAACATCCTAATGAGGCCACACATAAATGGGCCCAACTCATGCCTTTATGATTTCTTTGGTTAACAGATTCCTGTGCTAAGGGTATTAACAGAAATTTTCTTGGGATTGCATTAATGCAAGAAAGAAGAAAAAAATAACCAGGTCTCCTGTTGGCTCAGTTCCCCTCTGCAATAGCTCAGAATCCTCATCTCTTAACTTGTGTTAGTGACCCAGTACAGAAGCAGTCCTTTTCTTGGGCAGATCTTTTACATGCAAAAGGGTAGCCCCAGCTCCTTTCTCTCCTGCTGTGCTGGCTATCTGGCATCAGAAATTCTGTTGTTGCCTGAGGTGAGAATCTGACTGAAAAAAGGTTGAAGTTTAACACCATCCCTCCAAGTTCATTCATCAAAAATTTTCCTAGAAACAGAAGAACCCTGCCCTGCTTTTTTTTTTTTTTTTTTTTTTTTAACAATGTCAAGGTCTCCACCCCAGCTTCTCTGAAATGACCAGGTCTCCACAGTTAAAATGAATCCTTAATTGGAGGTGTGGCTCAAGTGGTAGAGCGCTTGCCTAGCAAGCCCTGAGTTCAAATTCCAATCCCACCAGAAATAATCTTTTTTTTTTTGCTGGTACTGGGGTTTTGAACTCAGGAACTCAGGGCCTCAAGCTTGCTAGGCAGGCATTCTACCACGTGAGCCATGCCCCCAGCCCAAGAAGAAAGAATTCTTATTGTTTCTTATAACTGATGGCCTATTTTTTGTCTTTTCAAGTGAGAGGGCGTTAGTCAGCAAAGGGAATAGAGGGAGACTTAACAGTTACATGAAGCTGTGAAGAACCATCAAAAAATGAGATCCAGCTGGGTGTCTGGTGGCTCACGCCTGTAATCCTAAACAGATCAATAGTAAGCAATCTTTTCAAAGTAACTGATTACATCATGCTCTTGCTTTGGACCCTACTGTAGCTTTTAATTGCAGTTAGAAAAACATCTAAACTTACCATGACCGTCAACATTGTCCTCTGATTTCATCTTTTCATTTCCTTATTCACCCCGCCTTCCTCTGGCCTGGCTTGTTCAGGGATCTCACAGTGGCTGTTCCCTCTGCCTTCCAGATCATGTTTCCCCTTGGCCATCACCTTGCAGGCTCCTTAATGCCAAAAACTAAAAATCTACCTGTTTAAAGCTAAAGTAGCCAGTATACACCTTATCTGACTACCCCATTTATTTCACAGCATTTGTTGCTACTTGAAGTTGTTTACATGCTATTTGTATCTCCCCTGGATAGACTGTGAACTCTGAGTGTAGGAACTGGGCTTACAGAAAGTACCCAGGGTGCAGTAGCACCTGCTTGTTAGACATGAGGATCTCAGCTCCCACCTCAGACCTGTGAATGTGAATCTGCACTTTAATAAGACCCCCAGGTGAGTCATAAGCTTGCCAAGTAGGGTTTTTAGAGCAATGGTTCTCAGGTTTGGTTATGTGTTAGTACTGCCCAGAAGGCTTTAGAAATTCTGACATGCTAACTTAGTTGAGCTGGAGTCTAAAAGGTCCCTAAGTGAATTTAATGGGCAGCTGAGGTTGAGAACCACTGCTGTAAATGCTGTTAATCCAAGCACAGTAGCCGCTAGCCACATGTAGCTACTTAAGTTTAATTAAAATTAAATACAAACTCAGCTTGTCAGTTGCTCTAGCCACATTTCAAGTATCCTATAGTCACATGTGGGTACTCAGTTGGACAGTGCAGACAGTTTCCATCATATTGGAAAACTCTGCTGGACAGTGCTGCTAGGAGGGCAGGAACTGAGAGACTTCTCTGTTTTTTATTAGGTCAGGAGAGCATCTTAGAGATGGAAAGGGAACTGGGGCAAACTCCGGAAGTCCTTAGAATAGAGAGGATAATTTGGTTGCTGACATTTGCAGTTACACCAGAAGGTGGCTCCCATGCCTCCTACCACACCTTGTGCCCAGCTTCTGGCCTCCAGAGTCCTCTACTAGGCACTGTGCATGTATTATCCTTTGCTCTTTAATACTTTTCTACTATTAGTATTATTGAGCTGGCGAAGTGGCTCAAGTGGTAAGAGTGCCTGCCTAGCAAGTGTGGGGCCCTGAGTTCAAACACCAGTACCACCAAAAGAAAAATAAGAATTACAATTAGTATTAGTATCCCTAATTTACAGCTGGGTAAGCTGAGGCTTAGGGAGCTGATGTTTTGCCCAGTCACCCAGCTACCTGCAGGTAGGAATTCCTAAGGTACCGTAAGGTTAATTAGGCTTTTACACGTTGATGTGATTCTCTGATTTCCATCTATAGCAAAACCCAGAGTATGTTTCCCTATAGAAGTAAACTGGCTCTTTGGAATATACACTGCTTATAGATTAGCAGTGAATGCTTGCAGTAAGGATGTCAATTTTCTTTCTCCATGAAATGGGAAACTAACACAAGCTATCTTGGCAGACAGTGTTATTTCCTACTGCAGCCCTCTACCACCTGGATCAAAATCCCCTCCTGAAGTTTCCCTGAAAGTGCTGTTACTGGGAAGCACTTCAACCACAGCACCCTTTATGCCCTCAGGTTCCTGATAAAATGTTACGTGAGCCCCTCATGCAATAGCAAAATGCCAAAGGTGGTCCACTCTACTTTGAAAAGTTCACCCTTGTGAGACTTTGAGACTTCACAGGCCAGCATAAATCTCTAGGACTTTGCTGCCTGCCTCACTGAGGCCTGGAGTCTGCAACAAGAGGACCTCAGCAATTCTCCAGCCTTGTTAGGTGCACTTCTTAGAAAACAAAAACCTAGCTTGAGACAGATGCTCATTGATGACATTTTTTCCAGTCTGGAACAAAATCATCACCATTCATTGCCACCATCATTTCATAAAAGAATATTTTAACATGGAAGATAAGATTTTATGATTTTTCTCTAGATTGGTGGAAATTTCTCCTGAACTGACACTGTAATGTATGCTGATCTAGTCCAGCCTCATCAAATGCCCAAGGGCTCCAGTCATCTGGCCAAGGGTGACTGTCTTCAGTGGCTGATTGTAGTACTCCATCCTTTAATGCCTGACCTCTGAAGCTTAAGCTATACAATGTACAATGAAAAACTGCCTGAATTTTAGACTGAGCCTGGGTTCAGATCCTATCTCTAATAGGCTATTGAGCACTTGAAATGTGGCCAGTGCAAATGAAGAACTGATGGCTTTTGTTTTATTTAAATTTTATTAATCTAAAAAACCACGTGTGGTTAGTGGCTGCTGTACTGGACAGCACAGTTCTAGACATGTTTGCTAATGTAGTTTATGGCCACTTTAGTTTTTGGAAGCAACTATCTTACCTTGCCAAACTGCCTCATTCTCTAACTGAACTAAAACCAAAGCTGGCTCCCATTTGTATCTAAATGTATCCTTCCCCATCTGTAGCTATACAATAAGGTATTTGTATCCAAATGCAGAAAGTTACATTTATCCTTACTAAATTTCACCCTCTTAAGTAGCTAAGGTTTTACTTTTATTGCAATAGAAGCTGTCTTCAACAGATTATTTAAAAATTGTTACTGTTATCCTAATTATTAGTACCAAGTGATAATATCCTAACTAGAGCTAACAGACTTTCCTTAATTTTTTCCCTGCTGTGGCACAATTACAAACATGTTACCACAATCAGACTTTTCTCAACTTCAGGCTGCAGGGTGAAGAGGGGTACTCAATACCTGTGGCTCCTATCTTATTAGTAGGAACAGGGAAATTATTTCAGGTAGAGACTGAAAAAGAAAATGGTAGAGTCAGGAGGCTTAGGTATGAGGCTGATGCCAGATAAGTTTTTATTATACTTAGAAAAAGAATGTAATTGGAAATAAAGGTAAGTCATTCAAAATGAATGAGAGTTCTTAAACTCTTCTAACTCTTCAGTGGCAGTGTTTGGGCCCCTGGCCAAGGCCAGCTTTAACCCAGCCGAGATGCTGGAAGGCAGAGCACAGAGTTGTACCCATCAAGGCAAAGAGGGCAAGAGACCCCACAGATCCTCGATACCGCTTTTGGGGGTCTGAAAAAGAAGAAAGCAGGAAGTTACCAGAACATCCATAAAGCATTCTATCATGGCACCCAGGGTATACATTCAACAACTTGGCCTTGGTGATTAACCAACTCTATCCTAAAGCTGTAAGATGTGGTGCCAAGTAACAGGTCATAACGATATTACTTGGAATAGAAAATTGTGTAATTGTTAAAGCAACTTTGATTCACAAGCTTTACAGAGTATCTCTCTCTTTTTTGGTGATGTTTAGCTAAAAATGTCTCTTCCACCTTTGGTCTCAGGTACACCATTTATAGTAGTGGTTAGGCTCTATAGTCAGGCTGCTGGGCTTTGAATGCTACTAGCTTATGCTTAGCAGCTACCTGACAACAGCCTTGATCTTTGTAAGCCTCAGTTTCTTCATCTGTAAAATGGAACATTATCTATACATAGAACTGCTATGAGGGTAAATAGCATATGCAAAGCTCCATGGAAAATGATTAGTTAAAATAAATTTTGTTGTGATTCAAAAGTTAGTAAAAAGAATAAAGATAATAGACCTTTCACCTTAATTATCAAGCTACTTCCTCATTGTTTTTTTTTTTTTTCCCCAATTTTTTCCCTTTTCCAGAGGTCTCAGCTGGAATTGTCAGATCATAGCCACAGATACCAGCACTCCCAGCATCTAAAACCCTTGACCACTAAGCTGTTGGATGCCAATCTTGATGTCTTCCCTGGACTCTTCAAGGAGCACAGAATGGGGCCATCACTGTGTGTCAGTTCCCCATTTACCTATCACAGCACCATTGGAGGCTGGTGGGAGAAAGGCAGCTGTACTTCCCCTTTTGTTAAATTCCCAGTAAGTAGAAAAATATAGTAGCATAGATTTTAAGATTTGTTGGCTTGGCAGACATCAACATGTACTTACCTCCCGTGTAGTAGCCATATGCATAAAGAACTCGCCCAACAATCCAGACCAGGCCCAAGCCAGAAGCTATGCGCTGTGATAAAAGGACTATGTTAGTGTTTGCATTGAAGAAACAGGCAAATCTTTCTCAATACCTAGGGTTGATTAAAAATGTGTTAGTAAAAAGTTAATAATTTCATGGATTTTCTAGGATACAACCCACCAAATAAGGTGGGGTTAAGTTACTTGTTTCAGTCAAAAAAATCAAAGACCTGTGGCTCATCTATGAACTGCCCCAAACCTGCAAGCTGAGTACTGGCCTTGTAGATAGGTGGGCTGGAAGGAAGGAATCTTTAGACTTGTTCTGAGCAACTTGGGAAACTTGGGCTAGACCTCAGGATGGGCAGGCCTGGAGGCTCAGGGTGAGCCAGAAGAGAAAACTGACCAAAACTCAGGACTAGAGGGAAAGCCCTGTTGCCTCAAATGGGCCTCTGAGCATGAGGTGAACTCTGACTGTGGAGTTGCATGATCTCCAGTGAGATCACCCTCCTGGCACCACAGCCTGAATGGAGGGATGGTGCTACACTAGGACAGGTGGGAAGAAGAAAGTGTGTGAATATGCAGTCTGAGAGGGAAAAGCCTCCCAATTCCCCACACCTTTGAGAAGAGAAAGTAAAAATTTATGTAAGATGAAAAATCTTTTCATTTGGGTGCCATCCTGGGGCAAACCACTTGGCCAGGAGTAAGCAGAAAAGATATGTGAACAGGAAACCTTCCTTTCTAATGTGGTAGTAAGCACTGTCAATGGTGGGGGTTACTAAGTCAGAATTTTTGCTTGTTGAAGTTGATTTTGGGTAAAAAGTATCAGTAAGCTGGGCATAGTGGTTGATGCCTATAATCCCAGCTACTCAGGAAGAGGAGGCAGGAGGATCTTGAGTTTGAGGCCAGCTCAAGCAAAGTTAGTGAAACCCTTACTCAAAAACAAAATATAAACAAAAGGGCTAGGAGCATGGCTCAAAGGGCAGAGCGCTTATCTACCATGCAAAGCATGCAGCCCTGGATTTAATTCTCTGGTTCCACAAAAAAAAAAAAAAAAGTGTCAATAGGAGGATGAACAACTGCAAATAAAAGACCCCAGTCTCCCAAGTCACTGTTTTCTAGCTCTGAGTCTGACAGACCATTCCTTAATGCTGCATAATTACTATCAACCTAGGAAGAATAGTGAGGCGCTGTCCTCAGAGAGTAGTACTTCAGAGAATTTTGAAGAGCTAAGCACAGGATCGAGATCTAGGGAAGTGAGACAGAGATGGGGAGGGGTAGGGAGACATCAAGTGATATCAATCTAGAAAGCCACCAGGCTTTTCAGAGTAGCCAGCTGAGTCACTGTCTAGTGATAGGGCCCCTGGAAAGAAATACCTTTCAAATGACATTACAAGAACAGTTGATGTTTCTTAAAAAAAAAAATACAGGCCTTCACATTTGTGTATCATCTTTGTTCATGCGAAGATCTTTGTTGAAGTATCTGTTTAGATCTTTTGCTCAGTTTTTTAGTTGGGTAGATTTCTTACTGAGTTTTAGTATATATGAGGATTCAATCTGTCTTAAGCCTTGGTGATGTGAAAATAAAGAACAGTGAACTAATTTTAAAACTGTTTGTATTTTATGTTTTGAAGAAAATAAAAGTGTGAGGGTATACAGTAAACAGCCTCCCTCCTGTTCTATACTTTAGTCACTTCCTTTCCCTTTTCTGTCATCAGTTTGTAAGGTAAACTTACAGTGATCTTTACTGTACATATAAGCAAATATTAGACATTTTCATTTCCTTTTAAAATATAAACTATAGTATACTATGCAGACTAGTCTGAATTTTGTTTTTTTCCACTTAACCTAAAGATTTTGTATCACTATATCAAATCCTCATTCTCTTTTAATGACTATATAGTGTGTCTGTATGTAATGTACACTGTCCCTTAACTGGTGAACATGTGAATTGCTTCCATTCTTGCTATTACAATGCAGGGTGAATCACCTTGTATAAACTTGGGTCATTTTGCATATATATAAATTTCTCTATGAGGTGAAAAAAAAATACAGGGCTTCAGGGTCTTGAACTACAGATGTGCCATTCTGGGAGCTTGTTAATAAAAGCATGGACCATTCAGGTACAGACTAGAAGGCTACGAAAGGCTTAGTAGTAGAGATGTGGAGGGCCACAACATTGATCAGAACTCAGTTCAGGGGATGATCAGGACCTTCAAAGGGAACACCTCATGTCCAAGGCAAAGCTCAAATACACGTACATGCAGTCCAAATCTAAGGCCTCCCAGGACCTGGTGTCTGCTCCCATTGCTGCTCTGCCCTTGCTTCCTGCTCTTCTCCCCACTCCATGGCTTCTCACCAGGCAGACTCCTGGATGCTGCAGACACTTGCACTTCTTGCTCCTTCACCTCCTTTCAGTGTTGCCTAACTCGCCTTCTCAGAAAGATCCTCAGTCCTTACCACAGTACTCAAAATCATCCAGTTCCTACTGCCTTTCCCGTTCTTTTTTCTGCCTTTGTGCACTCACCACCATCTAACACATAATTACTTATGATGCTGTTTGTGACCTCAACTAAAAAGAAAGCTCCAAGAAACCTGCTTGTCTCATTCACTGCGGTAACCTTAGGTTGTAAGTGTTTGTTGCATGCATGCATGAATGAATGAGTGAATGAATATGGCAAATGAAAACTCACACGAGCTGGATGCCAGTGGCTCAGGCCTGTAATCCTAGCTACTCAGGAGGCAGAGATCAGGAGGATCGCAGTTTGAAGACAGCCCAGGCAAATAGTTCTGCAAGACCCTATCTTGAAAAAAACCATCACAAAAAAAGCTGGCAGAATGGCTCAGGATGAAGGCCCTGAGTTCTGGTTTGAACTCCAGAGCAAACAAAACAACCTCTCACAGACACGAACCTTTTAGAATCAGATAGACCTGGGCTCAAAGTCTAATTCTTCTATTCTGTAGCTATTTGACCTTCTGAAAGTTAAATAGTATCCAAGAGACTGAAAAAATAGGGGAAATACTATCTACTTTAAAGAACTTTGTAAGAAATACTTAAATAAAATCCTTTAAAATAGGAGGCTCATTCAATGTTTATTTCTTTCTTCCCTCTCTAGTAGTAGCTCAATGAACTACAACCCAAATAGATGAGAGACTTACTGGGTGGTAAACACCTCCAGTAGCTAGAAAAAACAGGAACGGAGGATACACTTCCAACCTAGAACAGACAGAGGGAAACTTTAAAATGAGTAAAGAAAAAGTGTCCCCATGCCAGAATGCCTACCCAGAACTGAGAGACCTTTCTATTCATGCTTGCAGGTTAGAAGTCTGAGAGTAAACATAAGCACTGATGAGTGGAGGGGAGGCAAGCCACTAGTACACCCTCTTTTGCTCTGCATCAGAGCAGAGGCTAACTCAGAACACACTGAGTAAAAGGACCTCACATCCTCCAAACTCATGAGGAAGGTCTTGGTGGAGTTGAGTGGGTTTCCTTATAAAACCCAAAGTCACCTCATTCTCTAGGCCACAGAGGTTCAGTGTCAATTTAGATGGGACTGGCTACAAATACTGCAGATGGTAATGCAACATTAAAGACGTTCCTGGAAAGAGTATCCAGAAATCTCTCCATTTAAAAAACCCTTAACTTTGCTTAATATTCAGTCTGTTCACACACTTAAATTTTAATGATGCTTTTAATGAGGTGCCTATGATTGTCATCACTTAACTACTCAGGAAATGCACAGCCCACTCAGCAGATATCTTTGGTGCCTGGCAGGCATTACACTCACGTGTTCTGGTGGGCCCGCTGAATGCAGTTGAAGATGTGTCCGTTTTCAGGGTCAGTGCTGTACATGACAGGATACTGTTAAAACAAAGCACACACTGATCAAATAGTCAAGAGTAGCCTGCAGTGTTGAGAGTTAAAATTAACCTTAAAAATAATATATTCCCAAAGCATCTTCCATTATGCTCTTGATAGGTGACCATTTGATTTCTGCTTAAATATTTACAGTGACAAGAGTTGGAATTCTTGGTAGCAGTTTCCATGTTTATATTAAATATCCAGCAGTAAGAATGCATGCCTCTGGTATGGTTGCACAAGCAGCTTGTGCTAGACTCGGAGCTCTTCATTGATGTCACACATCAATGGTGGATTTCAGATGCCTTACAGACACCACAGGGAAACAGCTCCTTCCCAAGAGTCATCAAATACCACATCCTTTTTAAGATTTCCTCTAATGGGAGAGCAGATAACTGAGTGTGTGAGAATTTTATTGGGAGTGTCCATTAGAAGAAAACTTTAAAAGTAGGCTCAATGAGGGAGTCTGATTATAAGATGCTAAACAGAAACAGACACCAGGGACAACTTTAGAAATTATCCCTCTACACCAGCTAGAACTAAAGGAAGTATTTAACAGGCTCCTTTCTTACGTGTAATGGCTAGGCAGGATTAACTCAGCATTTCTTCTTTATTGGAAAGCAGGAAAATCACCTTAAGACATCATTTTTAAAGTGGCACCCAGGAAACAGTGTTGCCATTTAAAAGAAAACTGCACTCTTCCTAGCAAATAGCTCAAGCCAAAAGTAGACTGTTCTAATTCCAGCAGACCTGGTCTTTCCAGAGAAAAGACAAGGTGACACAGAATGAAAACTATACTCTCCCGCAGGTCCCTTTATTTCTTGCTTCTTTCCTGTCACAGAGGAGCAGAATTTCTAATAGATATAGTTCTAAAACTGCCACCACCCACCACTAGCAACTCACCTCTTCCTTCATGACTAAAAACAAGTCCTTGGACAAGCCCATGGCCCTGGACAAGCTGACAAAACCAGAGGCTTGTGTTCCCACTTACCTCCACCTTATACTTCTTGCGGGCCTTGCCAACATTGATGGCTAGGTGAAGTACCATCACAAAGCTGGCAGCACCAGTGAGAAGCACAAAACCATATTCCTTAGAGAGGACGGCCATCTTGGCTGTATGGAAGAAAGGACAACACATTGGGATACTGTCCCAGCACTGTGGGCATCATAGGATGTGAGGCCTTAGGGAGCAGGAGGCCTTGTTACCAGGGAACAAATATGTACAGATCAAAAATATGTTTCCAAGAGGTCCTTATAAATATACTATATGTCATAGAACAAAATTTTAAAAAATTCAAGTATTCAGCATACTCATGGAAAAGCGCACAATCACACATCATATATTTTCTCGTGTATCTAGGGCTTTTTGCTTAACATCACATATACAAGATGCATCTATATCATTGCAGCAGCTGTAGAATGATATAGCCCTAAACTTTACAGTTTTGAAAACAAATTTTTTTTTCTGTGGTACTGGGGTTTGAACTCAGGGGTCCACACTTGCAAAATAGGTACTTTTTGGCTTGATCCACACCTCTAGTTCATTTTGCGCTGGCTATTTTGGAGACTAGGTCTCTTGACCTATTTTCTTGGACTGCCCTTGAATCTATCCCTTCAATCCTAGTCTCCCAGGTAGCTAGGATTACAGGCATGAGCCACCTGCTTTGAAAAATATTTAATATGACAAAATGGTAAAGGATAGAGAAACAGAGAGAAGGAGAGAGAGGAGGGCAGGAGGGGAAGAGAGGAAAAACAGGATACAAAGTAGTGTATATGCAATGACTTAAAGCTTTTTGCAAAGATGGCCTTGGTGGTACACACCTGAAATCCCAGCTACAAGGAAGTAGAGGTTAGCCCCAGGAAAAAGTAGAAGACCCGTCTGACCCATCTGATAAAATAATAACTACATTAGGGCTGGTAGGGTGGCTCAAGTGGTAAAGGGCCTACCTAGCAAACAAGAGGCCTTGAGTTCAAACCCCAGTACTTAAAAAGAAGGGGGGCGGGGAAAGAGAGAGAGAGAGAGAGAGAGAGAGAGAGAGAGAGAGAAAGAGAGAGAGAGAGAGAATGTGTGTTTCTCTCTGTCTGTTTGCTCCTGGAGTGGGGCACTGAGAGGTCAGGAACCTTGCAGCTTATCCTGATCCATAGCACAGTAGAGATTTCATGCCAGCAGAGAAAGGCCCTGTTTCAGTGTTTTGAAAGCCAGCATAGTTCCTGAGCCTGTGACAGGTCTGGATAGCTCCTGAGGAACCCAGGCTACCCATCAAGTGCTCACTTCAAAACAAGCCTCGTAAAGTACTCTCTTGTTTCCACTTTATTTTGAAATGCATAAAAATATTGACAATCCAAGCCAATAGAGCAAAATACTAATTGTAGATCTAGGTGATAACTATGTGGATGTTCAACGTACAATTCTTTCAACTTTTGTCTATGTTCAAAAATCTTCAAATAAGCCAGGTGCTGGTGGCTCACACCTGTAATCCTAGCTACTCAGGAGGCAGAGATCAGGAGGATTATGGTTAGAAGCCAGCCTGGAGAAATAGTTTTTGAGATCTTATCTCAAAAATACAAAATACAAAAATGGGCTGACAGAGTGGCTCAAGTGGTAGAGCACCTGCCTAGCAAGTGTGAGGCCCTGAATTCAAACCCAATACCACCACTACCAAAAAACAAAAAAAAATCTTCAAATAAAATGCTTGGAGAAAAATCTAATCCCACCTCATTTTCCAGTGTTTAGCATTAAGCTCTGCCCCAGGAGGAAAGAGGAAGAAGGAAAGAGAACAAAACCTAGCAGGTGGAGGAAGCCTTAACCATCTCATGGTCAACTGTTAGTGCTGCTCACTAACTTTTTTGAGCATAAGATGAAAGAAGGGTCAGAGTGCCACTGGATACAAGGAACAGCTACAATATGCCAAGAGATCCTTAACTGGCTCTCCACTCCACACGAGGCTGCCACAAGCCAGGAGTCTCTGGTGTATTCTGCCTTTGGTTTTTAATGTCCATCCCTGGTTAAGTGCCTAGCTTTAGTCTCCTAGAAGCCAGTCAAGGAGGGTCACCCTGCTGCAGCACAATTCTAGTCATCCTTACAAACAAATTAACATGATGGTTTTATTTCAATTTTCCAAAGAATGTGCAGTCAAAATGCTCCCAAAGTCTAAAACAGAAAGGATTGGAGCTGGGATTCAAATACAGATTCATTTGATTCCAATGTCACCTTTCACCCCTGCCTGAAAACTGAGAGCTGAACTAACCCTGCTGTCAGAGCATCTTTCTTAGTATGGAATTTGGGGTATGCAAGCAGCTCAGTTTTTAGAAAGTAAGCTTCTCTTAGCTTGGAAAAGTAGCACCTGGGGCCTGAGACCTAGAAATGTGTCCTCTGTCCCATCATGGTTCATAAATTCTCACTAGCTTTCTACTTCTGTGATCTTCACCCTGTGCGGCTCACCCGCCCTTCAGGAGTGTAGCACACACTGGGCAGGGTTTGTCTCCATGACTCAGCACCCGCCACCTCCAGATCAGCAGCTCTGCCTGCCCAGCCACAGATAACAAGGAGGCATGGCTGCCCTCTGTGTCCCCTTGCCTTCCTTCTCTTCCCAATTCCAGAAAATCACTGCAGGTAGGAAGCTGCAGTAGTAATTACTAAAACAAAAATGGAGTGTGAATTCTGAACACATCTTTGCAAATAAATGTGATCAAACCTTCCAGCCTCCCTGATGTCCTGGGAGTTAAAGGCATTTGGGTCAGACAGGTCAATTATTTATTTATTTTTAATTGTTTTGGCGGTATCGGGGCAAACAGGCCATTTAAAATGAACTTGCCTCCAACTCCATCAGCAGCTGCCTGTTCAAGGACAGTAAAATGAAGCACATCTGTTTTAGGTCAGAATTTGCAAGTCCAGAGTCTAGGTGGATGAGGGCAGATCTAAGACCAGAGTAGGTTTTGGATTTCTTCACCAAAGTACTCCAGCTAGCCCACATAAACACTACCACAGTATGGTGACTTAGTCACTGAGCTCTGTCTTTGTGACTTCTGGGAAGAGTAGATGGCAAGACAAGGAAATGCCTCTGTCTCTGTTGCAGCTAAGAAATGCTCATAAAACAACTGCTCTATAATTAGAGATTAAAATATGACTGCTAAACTCCCTTTCAGAGTGTAAATGCAATCTGCTAGGTGTGTCTAACTGGTGGAAATTACTCTCCTCACACTGTGTGAAGGTGATATCCATTGGGTGTGAACCTGGATGGGCCAAGCAGAGCCGGGAACAAGAAGTACCTTTGAAAGGCAGGGAATTTATAGAAAACAGAGCCCAGAGTTTGATGCTTTTAGAGTGGATAGTCACAAAGGATAGTGGGGTCAGTGGTGGAGACAGGGAGTGCTCAGAGCAATAGAGCACCTCCTCTTCCTGCAGGGCCTCCTCTGCAGAGGCCACGAACCCATCAATGAAGTCTGGAAAGCTGCCTTCCAGAAGCGTGAATAGTTCTCCTGACACCTCCTTGCATTCTTACCAAGGCAGAGTAGTCCTGCCTCATGTGCCATCAGCACCTGCTCTTAACCCGAGTAAATAGCCAATTACAACAGCCCTAAACTCCAAGAGAGAGGGACCCTGTTGTCTGGCATCTTCCATGTCAAGCACAGTGTGCAAATTCATGGTGTATAGATGCTTGTGGGATAAACGCATACTCACAGTGTACCCAGATGCTTTTGGAATAAATGATGGAGCTCCAATTCCAGGTGGCTTTCAGAAATGATTCTGTCCCCAATACACACACACACACACACACCCCTCTGAGATAATATTCAGCATCTGATACAGTCCCTAGTAAAAAGTATGTAACTAACCAGTTTAAGCTGCCTTTTCTTGCCTCAAAAGTATCTATTGAAACCATGAAAGAAGCCAGGTTATGGATTACTTAGGAAAGAGGAATTCAGAACATGGAGAAAAACTCTGCGCCATAGGCACTGAAAACTAGATCCAAGGTCAAAAAGCACTTTAACATTTGATAAATCCAGGACAAAGAGATGGATGCTCCCAGCCCTTAGAGAGAGGCCTCTGTGTGTGTCAGAGTATGCAGCAGGGGAGAGATGGCCTTCAGTGACCACACCCCAGGCAACCCAGCCACACCCAGAGTTGTGCAAGCCCAAAGCTAGCAGATAGCTTCCAGGGACAGCTTAAACAACTGATAACTGACACACAACCTCCCTCTGGAATGAGCTGTCACTTGGACTGCATACATTTTGCTGATTATGTACCTGCCCAGTGTCACTAGCAACTCTTTTTATGGACCCAACAAGATAAGGTTTTTGAAGGTGGGAACTTTGCCCTCGACTATCTTTTAAATGATGCTGGACATGTAACCCAGAGGCTCTGCTTCTTTTTTTTTTTTGATGGGACTGGAGTTTGAACTCAGGGCTTCATGCTTGCAGAGTAGGTGCTCTAACACTTAAGTCTCACTTCCAGTCCATTTTGCTCTGGTTATTTTGGAGATGAGGCTCAGGCTGGCCATGAAGAGCAATTCTCCAGATCTCAGCTTCCCAAGTAGCTAGGATTGTAGGTGTAAGCCACCACTGGCTGGCTGCAGATCCCTTCTTAAAACTCAGAAAGCCTGTTTGTGGGAGAATTTTTTGCCCAGAGGTCAATAGTCCCTAACTTTTCAACAATCACTGAAGTGAACGATTCACAGAAATGAGAAGCAGCACTGCTTTGAAGAGTTGAACAGAACAACCTGAAATCAGACCAAATTCTTTATCTGAGGCCTTACAGCAACACTAGAACCTCCTGCCATCTGAGTTTGGTAATTCAGAAGCCCTCACCTGAGTATCACTTAACAAAGATGGGCCTACATCTATTTCTTTTGTTTTGTTTTGGGACAAGGTCTCACTATGTAGTCCACACTGGCCTCAAACTCTCCATTTCCTATCTTAGCCTCCAACAGACTACTGGAATTATAAGTACAGACTACCATGTCCTGTTGAGCACTTAAATTTAAAAGTTTAAACTTTGGTTTTTTTTTTTTTTTTTTAACTCAGGACCTCATGCTTGCTAGGCAGACACACTATCACTTTTTTTTTTTTTGCAGACTGGGATTTGAATGCAGGGTCTAAACCTTGAGCCACTC